TTATACTAGTACAAATTGTGTTAAAAACAAAACTTTTAAATTGGACAATTACATGAGACACGTGGAATGTTACAAACTTTTGTGATAACTTTTCTGAAATTGAACAACATCATCTCTACAGTCTACATGATCTAAGCGAGTATATATATACATGGTTGTTCCTATAAATGGATATAGTATAGTAGTTTGAAAAGTATAAATGACCTCAGTTTAACACTTCATGGTGTTATTTATTCCCCAAAAATACGTGTACCGGTCCTTACAATGTTTGATTAAACAAACATCAATCTTTAAGACTTAAGAAGTAAAAATTAATATATACCTATGTCAACTCTTTCCAATCGTTCCATTGTTCATTGACAGACTACTCTCATTTTAGTATTGTTGTTTATACGACCCTTTATTTTCTTTGTTTCATGAAGTTTCTATGGACAAATAAATTAAATTATAGATGTCCTTGGGCATTTCTTGTTGATTTGGTTGGGGCTAACAAATGACAATCACTCCATTAATTGACCCCTCCCACGCATAGTTAACCGATCTATTCCCGTATGAAGGGGGCAAGCACGTAGATGATCAAATAAATATGCAGAATCTATTATTCCATCTGTCTTAAAGAAGTATTTTATATTATAAATTAAAAATATCTATAATATACATGTACTTGTAACATTTTCTTATATATTTGACAAACGTATATCGGTTGAGAAAGGTTAGTTAAATTCCAATTCATCTCTTCATAATTTTCATTGTTTTTTTTTTCTTTTGTACTATTTTTTGAATAATACCGGAGACGGAAAGAATATAACTATAAAATATTAGTACATGTGAATTAGATTCCCAATTTCAAATGTTAGGACATGGCTGCTGACCTCTTAATTGGATTTGCGTCGGTAATCGATTACTACAGTACTTTTACTAGTTTACCTTTGTTGACACTTGACGGCATGAGTGTTAATTACTACAGTATTTATATAGAAGAAAAAAAGTATTTCTTCTCTTGTTGTAAAAGTTAATCAAGAAATTTCTCAGATGGTCCACATGCCACGGATCCCACTGCAGTTCTTCGTCGTAGACAATTATAATATAGAGCACCTAGATACACCTTTACCTAGGTTATAAAATACGCACTCAAAAAGGGGTAAAAAAAAATATTTCAAATCTTCAATTCTTGATATTTCTCCTAATTTTTAGCCATCATTAATCATATCCAACTTTCTATTACATTCAATCCAAGACGTCTCAAACTAAAAAATCTAAAAACTCAAAATTTCATATCTAAAGCGATTTGGTATCAGAACTTCTCGTCGGTGGTATTTTTGGAGACGAAATCCTGTTGTGCATCAAATCCCGTAAGTTTGTTTGCAATATATGTTGCTGAATTTGAGAATTAAGGTAATATATGATTTTATTCACTGGTTTTGCTTGTTTCTTCCATGTATGAAGGTCTAATAATGATATTTTTTCTGAAATATTCATGAAAGGCCAAAATTGTGTACTCCGATTCGAATAAGAGTAACTCGATGACTAAAGAGAGAAGGAGGTAATACTACTATTTTCTTAAACAATTGGTGTGTTTTTGGGGTTGAGTTATGTAGATCTAAGGTATATTACTTTTTAGTTTTGTTCATCGATTTGTTGTTGATTTTAGAAGAGATTAATAAATTTGGGCATTATTCATCATTTCGATATCGTTATTCATCGTTGATAATGAGATATTCATTCGTCGATAATAGATCTGTGCATTATCATCAGTCTGATTTATTCATCAATTTGTTATCGTTGAATATCAGTTTGTTGTTGTTTTTTTTTTGAAATATTCATCCGTAATGAGTGGTTATTCATAGAAAATTTGGAGTAAGAAATCGTCAAAAATTATGATCTTTCCGATATTGAGTCTCAGGTAATAATGATTATTCATCATTCTGATTAAATATAATTTACGTTTTATGGATATCGTGTACGATATGCTGATTTATTTATCCCATTAAAAGTGATTATTCATCCCTTGCGAATCTGTTATTCATCATGTTATATGTGCATCGTTGATATTTTGATTTGGATTGGGTGTATGCAGATCTAAAGATTAGTCATCATGTTAATCATGATTTTTCATCGTCTATGAAGACATTATTCATTAAGTATCCTGTTCATTGTAGGCATTTGGTATGGATTAGGTGTATACAAATATGATGATTATTCATCTAAAGAGTGATATGATATAATCATATGAATGTATATCATTCATCATGTGAATTTGAGTAGTTTATCCTTTGAATATGTGTTAGTCATACTGTAAACATCATTCATCCTGCAAAGAAATGTCATTCATTTTAATGAATTGTTATACATCATGTAATATGTAAAGGTATACGATTGTAAATATGTGTCATTAATCCTGTAAAATTGTGTTATTCATCCTGTCAATATATGTCATTCATCCTTTTAACATGTGTTATTCATTCCATACATATGTGTATTCGTCATGCAAAGATATGTCATTCATCACCAGTGATGTTGTTATTCATCAGTTAATATGTACATGTAGACGATTGTTATTAACTAGATTCGATTTATGTAATTTTAATACTTATTCGTTATTTTCAAAATGATTATTCATCTTCAATAGTATTGTTATTGATAATTAACAAAGTTTTGATTGAATGTGAAATCTCACTTATTCTAATGTTCTTTTTATTTGATTAGCAGCAAAGAAATGCTCATCAAGATGAAATCGATAGGTTGGAAATCAAATATTTTACTAGAGTTGCTGAAATCAAGCAATCAACATAAACGTGTATCGAACATCTACAAATCCTTCATGACCTTATATATTAAAAACAATGACTATTTTTTTGTTCATTTTTTGTCTAGTATAATACAATATTAGAAATTTGTTAGTTTAGTTGCTAATATTAACCCATTGTAACATATACTTTTGTTATCAAAGTTATTCATCCAGTAACGTATATTATTCATTTATTAAAGTACAACTATTCATCTTATAAAACTACAACTATTCTTTATTGTAATATTGTTATTCATTTAGGATAAGATCATTATTTATCAGATTTGCATCGTTATTCATCTTTGTGATTATCATTATTCATTGCAAAATTTAAATTTATTCGTCCATAACATTGTCACTATAAGAATATCATTATTCACCATCGATAAGTATACCATTATTCATCCAAACAAATATCGTTATCCATCAAATTTTTTAAATTTGCGCTTAATTCTCCGGATTTCATTGTTAATCAGTTGAAATTTTTTGCTTCCATTGATTCTCGAGATTCATAAGTCTCAATGATGAACCATATCAAATTTTACCAAAATAAAATAATCGTTAAAAAAAATCTCATAAAATAAAATAATATAAAACTAAGAGAATAAGCAAAAAAAAAAGTTTAAAATTAAACGTGTGCTAAAAAAAGGATAAAATTAGGAGGATTAAATGCCCAAAAAAAAGGGGATAAAATTGTGAGGATTAAATGCCCCAAAAAAAGGGATAAAATAGCCACATTTCTTTTTCAAGTTTGTGATACGCGCACTAGCTAGATATACCTTGCATCTTGCAAGGTATACCTAGGTGGTTGATATTATTTGTCTCGTAGGAGATACTACTACTTTCCTCCGAGGTTGTAAAAAGTTATTGTTCATCATATATATACCACGTATTGTGTTTGTTTATTACTACTACTTGCTTTAGCAATCCTATTTATTTCCGCCTTCTTTTTTTTTTTTTTCATATTTGCAGGGTGTTTACCGTTGGCAACAGTGACTAATCCCCTTCGCTAAATTGTAAGCACCTCGATGGGTGGGATAGCTGACTAATCCCCTTTGCTAAATTGTAAGCACCTCGATGGGTGGGATAGCTGACCAAAATATTTAAGGTTGCTCCATTCCCATGGCGAGGTTCAAACCCTTGACCTATGGTTAAGGGTGAAGGAGTCCTTTCCACTCCACCACAACCACTTTGGTTATTTCCACCCTTTCTCTATTTGCTTTTACAACAATAGTTTAATCAACACAAAGCTATATTAATAATCCAAACTTCACGGCTGGAAATTGCTGGAGTGATAAGGGTAAATTACGGTAATGTCCAATAAAAAAATGCATTTTAGTTCTTTGGGGTAAAATTTCAGCATTAAAATGGTCCTAGAGTAATGTTTATACAAGGGACTAAAAGTGTTAAGTTGTCTTAGCTTTGTTTTTTTATGCGGAAAAAAGTTATAAGTGGAAATAAGAGAGGAGCCAACAAAGAGAGAGGAATTAGGAGAGGATAGAGCAATCTCTGTGCGATTCCTACTTATGAGCTCATTTTAAAAATTGATAGTTTGATTTAGCTTAAAAACTAACAATTTATACCCACTAAAAATAATAAAATACACAAGGGAAAGAAGTAAATTTGACAAATATTATTGCATATAGGCCAACTCCTTTTCCTTATCAATTAGGAGCACACTCTAATACTAAAATACAATGGGACAATCTTGGAAGACCGACTACCAATTATTAGTAGTGCAATTTGATATTGCTGATAGTAGGCACTTTGATAAGTGGAAGAGTCGGCCAAAGGATTTAAAATTATTCCATACTGATGGTAAGGTTCGAACTCTGACCTACGATTAAATGTTATTGATTTTTTTAAAAAAGCTATTACAATAATAATAATAATGTATTTAGAAATTACCATATAAAAATAAAAGAAACACAAAAGTGTGCATAATTTTTCCTCTCGTGGATTTCATGATAATAATGGCGGTGAGAGAGAGAAGAATAGGAAGAAGGTGCCAACATACTTCCTTCTTTCTTTCGTCCCTCTAATTTAGCTCTCTCTATATAAACAACACACTCCGTAGTAGCCAAGAAAGAAGGAGCGCAAAATCCAAGTTGAAAACAACTAACTCTATTTATACTATCTCTTAAAAAACGACAAACCACTCATAACTAACCCGAAACACCAAACCGCCGAATTTACTAGCGGCAGTTCTAGCATGACCAGTTGGGGCGGTGGCGGCGGCGGCAAGTATGGCGGTGGTGGAGGGTTGTTTAGGGTTTCAATGTGCGGGCGGAGCGTGGCGGACGAGATGGAACAGATTTCTAGAGAAGGAAGTCATTACAGTATAACTTCCGGCATTCTTCCTTCCCTCGGTGCAAGGAGCAACCGCCGGGTCAAGCTCCGGCGGTTCACTATTTCCCCTTATGATCGCCGTTACAGGTAATTGTTACTTTCAACATTTCCACTACCATATAACTAGATTGTTACAATTTACATTAAACTCCTCCAAGAAAAATCACTTTTAGTCTCCTCCGGCCGCCGGGTTTGTGCCGGACGGACGGAATTCTGTTTAATCAGTATGGCAGTTATTGCTCCAAAAGTATGCCAATCACCGTCGGAGTTGTTGATACATCAATGCTGGTCGGGAGTTAAACAAACAGAATCCTTCTTAATCAGTTCCCCTGTTCAATGAGCGGTGACCCTACCAATTTTTTAAGAAAACCAAAGAAATTTTGGCCTAATGGAATAAGCAGGCCGCTGGTCATTTTTGTTTATTCAAATTTTTCCTGACTTTTGAATACTCATTTCATGAAATCTGTTTTGGTGGGGGAGAAGGACGGGTTCTGTTACTTTTCCACTGAGTGTGGCAAAAAATTTCCCTGGGTGGTTTCGTCGATTTCAAGCCAGTTTTGATTTTTCCAATGAGTGGTAAAACTTTTGTTGCTGGTGGTGGTTGGGATCTTTTCTTTTTTTTTTTTTTTAACTTCTATCTTTTTCAACTTTTTTCTTTTTTGCCAAAAGATACCATTCTTCTCCTCTGTTTTCATCACTACCCTGTTTACTTTGTGAACCATTTTTTAATTTTAAGTTAACAATGGCAATTCGGATTTTGCCAAATGATAACACAAAAAAGTTTTGGGATGTTCTAGTTGATCGACACATCATCTGGAGAACCTTTTTGAAGGTTCTTCCCTGTTAGGTGTGGAATTTAGCCATTTATCTTCACATTACTGTGTTTACGGGACCCCTTTGACTTGATATCTGCGGTGGAACAAATTGATTTGATTGCGGTAACTAGATTGCTCCACCAAGACAAGATCATCTTTTCTCTTTCTTGCTGTTATATTTTGTTTGATCTTTCAGGTCCCTCAGTGGGGTATCAGAATTAAGTTTTTTTTCGCTAATCACAGTTCTTCTTGTTATCTTAATCATGCCTGTTATTCAGTGAAATTTAATTTCCAGTTATATTAACCGCATGTTTTCTGCATTTTTGTTTTGTTTTTTTGGGGGGGGGGGTGGTAAACTTTTGAAGCCATCAAATTTTGGCCCAGGTGACAAGTTTAATCCCACATATATTTTGCTTCTCAAATTCAACAATGCATAGAACTTCAGATTCCTGGGGTCCCAAAAATGTTGCTTTTTTAATTCTACATATATCCAATGACAAATTTATGATTTATGTTGGGGGCTGTGTTTGCAAATTCAGTTACGATGGTGGCATCTTTGTGCTTGCTTACATTCACCGGATCAGCTTCATCCAAGAAAATTGTTTCTCTGCAAAAGTGCCTGTTACTTTTCAAAGTATTGCCATTTCGCCAGTTTGTGAATTCGATGATTATATTCTAATGCTTGATTAGACTGTTCCTGGTGAAATTCAATAATTAGTATTGAATTGCCATTTGCAGGGCGTGGGAGACCTTTCTAATTGTTCTGGTAATATATACTGCATGGGCATCTCCCTTCGAATTTGGATTTTTGGAGAGACCACAGGGAGCACTACCGATTGTAGACAATGTTGTCAATGGATTCTTTGCTGTTGACATCATCCTGACATTCTTTGTAGCTTATCTTGATAGAACAACATACCTTCTAGTTGATGATCGGAAGCTGATTGCTTGGAAGTATATCAGTAGCTGGTTTGTATTCGATGTGATATCAACTATTCCTTCTGAACTCGCTAGGACCATTTCTCCTAAAGCTTTGCGAACCTATGGCTTATACAATATGCTTCGTCTCTGGCGTCTTCGTAGAGTTAGTGCCTTATTTGCTCGGTAAGTAATTTCAAATGTCACTCCTATTTTTTGAAAAATATTTTCTTGCGGGCATAGAGAGTTTGTTTTACTTGTTTTTGTACTGATCCCCTCTTTTTTTTTCTAATGTCAAACAGGTTGGAGAAAGATAGGAACTTTAACTACTTCTGGGTTCGATGCGCCAAGCTTATTTGTGTATGTATTACTTACCTTTCTTGGTACATTGCTAAAGTTGAAGTGGTGTCTTATATATTTCTTTTCGTTGTGGCTTCAGGTCACACTTTTTGCTGTTCATTGTGCGGGGTGTTTCTATTATATGCTTGCTGCTCGTTATCACGACCATAAAAGAACATGGATTGGGGCTTCTATGGGGGAAGACTTCATGGAGCAGAGTTTATGGATCCGTTATGTGACCTCAATGTATTGGTCCATCACTACACTAACTACAGTAGGTTATGGAGATCTGCATGCTGAAAATACAAGGGAGATGGTTTTCGATATATTCTACATGCTCTTTAACCTGGGACTTACAGCATATCTGATTGGAAATATGACCAATTTGGTTGTTCATGGAACAAGCAGAACAAGGAAATTTGTGAGTAATTCCTTTTATTCTTTGCTTGCTTTAAAGTCATTGTCTAATATTTCATCTCCGATTCCACTGCTTCTAATATGATCCTCCACTTTTCACTGAAACATTTGCTTTTCATCCATGAAATTTACTTTCAGAGGGATACCATTCAAGCTGCTTCAAGTTTTGCGCTGAGGAACCAATTGCCTGCTCGGCTACAAGACCAAATGCTTTCTCATTTGTGCTTGAAGTTTAGAACTGACTCAGAGGGGCTGGAGCAGCAGGAGACTCTTGATTCTCTCCCAAAAGCTATTCGGTCAAGCATTTCACATTTTCTCTTTTACTCCCTAGTAGATAAGGTCTACTTGTTTCGTGGGGTGTCCAATGATTTGCTCTTTCAGCTGGTAATTCAGTGGCAACCTAATCAATAAAATTCTTTGGTTCTTGAGCTTATGCTCTCATGACTTACACTCATTTCACGTTGTGTTAGGTTTCTGAGATGAAAGCTGAGTACTTTCCTCCAAAGGAAGACGTAATTTTGCAAAATGAAGCTCCTACAGATTTTTACATTCTTGTAACAGGAGCAGTGGTAAGTTTTTAATTTGAAGAACTTTTGACCTTAGACTCCTCTTCTTTTCTTTTCTTGTTTATGTTAGGAATTTATCATCACCTCCTTTTATGTTTGAATTCCCTGTAGGATTTTCTGGAGATGAAAAATGGCATTGAGCAGGCAAGTTGATCCTGTAAACTCACATAAACAAACAACCAATTTCTCAGTTTGAATAGAGTGATTTGATCCACTATTTTACAAATGCCAACTGAAAATGAAATCAATGATGCAGATTGTTGGGGAGGCAAAGAATGGTGATCTTTGCGGAGAGATAGGGGTTCTATGCTATAGGCCTCAGCTTTTCACAGTACGCACAAAAAGGCTTAGCCAGCTACTGCGGTTGAACCGGACTTCATTTATGAATATCATTCAGGCCAATGTTGGAGATGGGACCATAATCATGAATAATCTCCTTCAGGTCTGTATACATCTCAAATCTGATTGACACTTCTCCAATAACTTTACTTTTATAAGTTTTGTTTTCTGTTTTCGGATTTATCTCCAATAAAAATCTGGTAGCTTTGAGAAAAGGTACATCGGATTGATGAATTACCAAATGCCTCATATTTGGCTTCCTGCAGCATTTGAAGGAGATGAAGGACCCATTCATGTCTGGTGTTTTGTTGGAGACAGAGAACATGCTAGCTCGTGGTAGAATGGACTTGCCACTCAGCCTGAGCTTTGCAACAATGAGAGGAGATGAAGTCCTGTTACATCATTTGTTAAAACGGGGACTAGATCCGAATGAATCTGACAACAGTGGGAGAACAGCCCTTGTGAGTACAATTATTTATTTCCTCTTATAATTTAATAGACTCCTTGACACTTTCTCATTTTTATTACTTCTGCCTTTTTCATTTACTCAGCATATAGCTGCATCAAAAGGAAACACACACTGTGTAATGCTTCTTCTGGATTACGGAGCAAACTCCAATAGTAGAGGTATGTCGAAATTTTCTGACTAACATCTTTTCAAAGTTGCATTAGCCGTTATTTGGTGGTCAGGGATTACATGTAATCATCCTCCTGGTTATGATGCCCCTTGGAGAAAACAATCCACCTGATTATGCTGTTGACGTTTGTTCCCCGATCTAGTCACAAAACAGTGATTGGCTATTTTACATGTCCTTTGTCAGTAGTGGTTGGCTATTTAACAATAGCTGGAAGTCAACTCAACTAAATGTGCCCCTTATATCTGCATGTCCCTTGCCCTTTCACAGTTTCAGACATCTTTTATTTAATTTTTATGTTACGTCATTAGAAACTTTGAAGATGAGGTCCTCTACTGTACTGTTCTTTTGTCAACTGTTGAAAACAACTCCTCCCCCCTCCTTTTGTTACAAAAGTCAAATAGGGTTTAAAAAAATAAGCACTTAGATGATCAAGCTAATTGTAGTGTTGGATAATTGAACCGTCTTTATTTTGCAATGCCTATTAACCTTCATTGGTCGCCTTTTCTTTTCTTATCTTCTTTTTTTTTTAATATATATATATATATATTTATTTATTTATTTTATTTTATTTTCTTTTTTGGGTGGAATGAGCTATCGTAGAATCTGAACTGATTCTGGTTGCTTTGATTAAGCAGACGTAGACGGTAATGTTCCATTATGGGAGGCCTTATTGGGGAAGCATGAATCAGTGGTCAAGCACTTAAGCGAAAATGGTGCCAAAATATCTGCAGGAGATGTTGGCCAATTTGCATGTACAGCTGCAGAACAGAACAACTTAAAATTACTGCAGGAGATAGTACGGCTAGGTGGGGATGTTACGGTTCCTAAACTCAATGGATCAACAGCGCTTCACGTTGCAGTCTGTGAAGGTAACATTGACATGGTCAAGTTCTTGTTGGAACAAGGAGCTGATATTGATAAAGTAGACGAACATGGTTGGACCTCCAGAGATCTAGCAGAGCAGCAAGGTCACGAGGATATCAAAGCTCTGTTTGAATCCATAAAAGTAGCCAGAAATGTACCCGTTGCTCCAATTTTCGAAGAAAAACATGGAGTTCGGTTCCTAGGCAAACACAGAAGTGAACCATCAATTGTCCCGGCATCCCAAGATGGCTCATTCCGAGGAAATGATGGATCATGGGGAAGACGGAGGAGGCGCAGGACTGATAATTTCCACAATTCACTGTTCGGGGTCATGTCAGCTGCCCAGAATGGAGGGAATGACTTGCTCTTAACAGTAAATCAGGCTAGCCGGACGCCAACAACAAGAATATATGCCGCACGAGTGACCGTCAGTTGCCCTGAGAAAGGAGATGATGCTGGAAAGCTCGTTTTGCTTCCAGAGAGTTTTGAAGAGTTACGCGAAATAGGTTTGAAAAAATACGGGTTTTTGCCAGCAAGAATTTTGAACAAGGATGGTGCAGAAATCGAGGAAATAGAGTTGATAAGGGATGGTGATTACTTGGTATTCACAAGCACTGGTCGAACTATCCAAGAACCTAATCTCCAAAATGCTGGTGAACGAAGATAAAACAAAAAGATTAACCAAAAGGTTGGTTTATGCAATCAAGTTGTCCCATAAGCCATATAAACGATGTAGTAAGAAGATCAAGAGGGGAGCGAAATGCAGAAACTGCGGTGTGCTCCAATTGTAGCTGTAAAAACACTTAACAAATTGCTAACCAAGTGATTTTTCCACGGTTCTTGTTGTACTTGTACAACTAACACATTTACTTATTGAATGAAATATAAGGTCACACGTAACAGAAAGATGGAAAAAGAAGAGGGATTTCTACCATGGATGGTGGGCATTTATCTTGTCTTTTACCTTTGTATACACAAGTTATTCTATTTTAGATGATTACAGAAATAGGGGCTTGCTACCCTTGGAAATAACTTACAAAATGCTGGCTTGCTCTAAATCATAATGCTCACCGTGAACCTTCTCCTTCGGTGCTTAACTTGAGCTAAGCCAAAGGATGTGGATTGAAACCAGCCACTTAGATATATAATCAAAATGGTGAGGCAAAACCCAACTGGAAATCCTATCAAAGCTCCTTCCCATGAAAACATGGAAGATTGGGTCGGGGAAACAGGGGTCTCAACTTGACATGGTAGTTGTATTTGCATCCCGCATAACCCACTGTTGTTTGCAAAATCATTTGGGTTATTCATCAAATCCATTTGACCGCCTGTCGGAATTGGACCCTTCAGGTGGTTGTTACTGACGTCCAACGTTGTGAGTTGGTGCAGGTTTTTGAATGTCGGTGGGATTGGACCAATGAGATTGTTGTGTGATATGTCCAAGCTCTCCAGATTCTTCAAACCTCCAAAACTGTATGGTATTTCCCCAGACACCCTATTAAAGGATATGTTCAAGGTTTTCAGTTCCTTGAGATTTCCGAGTGCAGCCGGTATTTCACCGGAGAGTTGGTTCCTTGATAGGTCCAACAAAGAATACATGTCATCTTGGCCTGGATTTGATGGCAGCACCAGCATTGACCTCTTCCAGTTTGCATCAATTTCAGAGACGCGAAATGAAGATTCGTCCATTAAGTATGGCTGCAATTCTATTGGCAAGGACTTAGAAGTTATATGCTTCTCAAGCATTCCAGCGAGATTTCCAAGTCCCTCTGGGATGCTTCCTGTGAGGTTATTGCAGGACAGATCAAGAATTCGGAGATTACTGAGTTTGGATATGTTTTCCGGTAAATGGCCTTGAAGGGATGTGTTCCTGAGGCTCAGAATCCGAAGCATTGGAATCTCAGTTAGAAGACTAGGGAATCCCCCTGCAATTCTATTGCCATTAAGATTGAGTTGTTCAAGTTCGGTCATCAAGCTGCTAAAAGTTGGAGGCAGTCCTGAAAATTTGTTGTTTGCCAAGAAAAGAAGCCTGGTGCCAGTGGGGAAGGTACCTGGAATTTCACCTGAGAACTCATTGGTTGATAAATCAATAAGCTCAAGAAAATCACAAAAGCTCGGAAAAGTGTTTCCGGAAAATCTGTTCTTCGATACATCCAGTAGTTGTAGTGATTCCATATTCGACATGGAGTCAGGTAGGGATCCAAAGAAGTTGTTTTCAGATAAGAAAAGAATTTGAATTTCGGAAGCGTCACCGATGTTCTTCGGTAGTTCTCCAGAGAAATTGTTTCTTGATAGATCAAGGAACTTGAAAAAATTATTGCGTTTGAAAAATTCAGGAGGAAGAGAACCAGAGAGGTTGTTACCTAAGAGAACTAGAAATATAAGTGGTATCTCCGCTAGCCAAAGTGGAAATGTTCCCTGGAGCTCATTATGGCTCAAATCCAGATATTGAAGATTTTTCTGGGATGAAATCCATTGCGGCACTTCCCCAGTTAGACCACACGATCTTAGAGACAGAGCCCATAACATGCACTTGGGTACTATCCTGGAGTTGTCGTGTTTCAAACTCAATTTATTCCCTCCAAGATACAAATACTTCAGTGTCCTGATATCGAACAACCAAGATGGTATCTCTCCCTGAAGTGAGTTGTCTTCGAGTAAAACGTCTGTTAACTTGCTTAGATTCCGAATGGACAATGGTATTTCACCAGTGAACTTATTATTGTCCAAACGCACTGATCTTAGGTCAGCCAAGAAACCTATGTCTTTTGGAATCAGCTGTGACGACAAATGATTATCACCCAAATCCAGGACTTGAAGTCGTGTCAAGTTCAGAGTTGACATTGGGATTGTCCCAGTTAACATGTTACCGCGCAATTGCAAAACGACCAAGTTAGGAAAAAGGAGCCCGATATCTTTTGGAATTTCAGAGGATAATTGATTATGCATCAAGTTGAGGAATTGAAGTCGTGTCAAGTTCTGAATCGACATCGGAATTCCACCAGTTAACATGTTAAAGCTCAAATCCAAAGTGACCAAGTTTGGCAGGAGACCGATAAGTGTGGGAATTGGCGATGATAATTGATTTGCCCACAACACTAGGACTTGAAGTTGTGTAAAGTTCAGAATGGACACGGGAATTCCACCAGTTAACATGTTAATGCCCAAATCTAGGTCTTCAAGTTGTATCAAATGGTATATTGACAATGGAATTCCACCAGAAAGCCTGTTGGACGAAAGGTTGAGATGTCGCAACTCAGTGAGGTTACCAATCTCTCCAGGGATGTCTCCACTAAGATAATTTGAGCTTAAATCTAATCTGATTAACGTGGTGAGATTAACCCAGCCTTGAGACGGAACATCACCCGAAAGACAATTACCAGAAAGGTTAAGCAACCTTAGGGAGGTTATATGAAATAAGGGAGCCAAGACAGAGGAAGGAAAAGTGTGATCTTCCCAATCAACCGAAATATCATATCTGACTCCACGAATCAGGGAATCAAGATGCAGCTCAGAAACCATGAATGGGCTTGTGGAGGAACAAACTACTCTGTTCCAATGGCAACAACCGGAAGTGGAATTCCATGTTGCCAACTCGAATGAGGTTGACAGATAGACATCTGATGATGTAGAATAAGCAGCAGCTACAGCATTGAGAAAAATGGATTTGAACTGAAGAAGGGATCGCTTTTGATGATCAGGACAAGATGAAGAGGGGTGAGAGAAAGATAGAAAAAACAAGATCAAGAATCCCAACAAATTCCACAACTTAGAAGCCATGATCGACAATTACTACTTTGGATGACGGATTCCCTTCCTTAATTCACTTAGGTTGTAATGATGGAAAGGAATACACAGCCAACCATAATATGAACTAGCAATCTAGCAGAACAGGAAGGGGGCCTCTCCAATGCCGTGTGGAAAAAAATAAAAGAAATCCAACATTTCAAAGAGTACATTAATTGTAACTTACTGATTGGTTTGGAAATTGTTGGAGTGGTCTCCGGTCTCCGTCCATATAAATCATGGCCCCCCTGGGTGTTGTGACTTGATGATACTTGGGGCAAAATATTGCAGCTTATTCTGCGAACTTCCTTTCTGAAAATGAAAAGTAAACCATTCAGAGAAACACAGACATTTGTGGGTTCAGTGAAAACATAGTCATTCAAGTCGCAAATTGTTGGGTCCGGATTAGCTCCCCTCAATTGGACTAACAATAAGGAAGATAAAATCAAGACTTATCAGCTTTGGTTTTGGCTTGACCCAGGGAAACAAAAACCATTTAGAAATTGGTTTTGTTTTTTATGCTTATATAAGCAAGGTAGCACAACACTTTTGGGCATGATTTTCAGCCGAGAGAGAAGCAAAACAAGGGCAGCCGCACAACCTCTTGTGCGAGAGAAAATAGAGAAAATTATGATTTTATGATTTTGCTGTTGTGAGAAGAAAGTGTTTCACTTTGAGACTTTGATCGAATGACGAAACAGAGTTAGTTGTTGGTGCAAGTTTGCACATTGGTTCCTCTCAACAAGATCTACTATTCTTTTGGTTTAGTTTTCGGTTTAGCTCTCTTTTAGTGAGATCTTTCCAATCTCACTTTGTGAGATTAGTGTTTATTTTAGAAGAGTATTTTTGTAATCCACCTTTGGGTGAAGTCCTATGTATCCACCGGTTGGTGAAAACTGTTTCCGATTATTGTGATAGTCGAGATTTGACTGTTGTTACAGTCCCGTGGTTTTTTTCGATTTGGATTTTTTACGTAAATCTGTGTGTCTACTTTATTTTATCAGTTCCTTGATTATTTGCTTGTTTGGTTGTCTTATTTCATTGGTAGTCGGAAAGGAGTTTTTATCCTGAGGTTCATTTCTACTGGATTGTTGTGTTTATACCCTTTCCGCCACAACAATGGTATCAGAGCTACGGTTCGGTAGTTGAGGTGTTATACTAATAAAATGGAAGAGTCATCGGGTGCTGGTACGATGATTAAATTGACTTCATCTAATTATCATATTTGGAAACCTAGAATGGAAGACTTGTTGTATTACAAAGATTTGTTTGATCCTGTTCTAGGAGATAAAGGTAGGCCAAGTGATATGACTACTAAGAAATGGGCTCATATTCACAAGAAGACTGTTGGTATATTCGACAGTGGATTGATCAAAGTGTGTTTCGTCACTTTTCGGAAGAAACAAAAGCTGATGAACTTTGGGAGAAAATCCAGAATATGTACTGGAAGAAGTCCGGCATCAATAAGTTATCTGCGCTGAAACAGATTACTAGGTTGAGGTACAAAGACGGTGCTAGCATGAATGAACACTTGAGTTCGTTTCAGGGTTTATTGAACCAGACAGTGAATGTAGGTTTGAAGTTAAATGATGAGGTGCAAGTTTTGTTATTGTTTAGTTCTCTTCCAGACAGTTGGGATACTTTTGTAGTGTCAATCAGTAATTCAACCCAAGATGGTGTCTTGACCTTGGATCAGGTCAAAGAGGCTTTGATGAATGAAGAAGTCAAAAGAAAATAGCAGAGTATTGAGTCTGAGTCACAGGCTCTGGTGACAGAAAAGTCAGACAAAAGAGGGAGAAGTAAAAGCAGAGGGCCACGTGATCGGAATGACAAGTCCAGGAGACGGTCTAAATCCAAGAAAGATGTTGTGTGCTACCATTTTCAAGGGAATGAGCATTTTAAGAAGGAGTACAGGGTTCGTAAGAGAGAACTAGCAGCGAGAAAAGGTAAATGCAAGAAAGATGAATCAAGTGATGATGACACTACTGTAATAGTAACTACCAGTGATGTATTTATGTACTGTGATGATTATATAATTAATTTTGCGAGTCATGACAGTGATTGGTTCGGTGATTCGGGTGCGTCCTATCATGTGACGCCTCACAGAAACTCCTTCACCTCTTACACACCTGGAGATTTTGGTCGTGTAAGAATGGGCAACCAAGCCTCATGCGATGTTGTCAGCATGGGAGAGGTATCATTGGTATCGAATACATGTTGTACTCTTGTTTTGAAGAATGTCAGACATGTTCCGGATATGCGTCTGAACCTTATTTCCGTTGTCAAACTTGATGATGAGGGTTATCATAGCATTGAAGGTGGTGGCCATTGGACAATTTCCAGAAGGAATCTTGTTATTGTTATAGGAAAGAAGTTGAACTCTTTGTATGTGTTGAATGCAAAGTTGAAGAATAGAGAGATGAATGCAACTCACAATGCCTCCATTGATCTTTGGCACAGAAGACTTGGACACATTAGTGTCAATGGGCTGCAAATTCTTGGTAAGAAGCAATTCCTCCCTTAGGTGAAAGGTACTGCTCTAGAACCTTGTGTTGACTGTAGTTATGGTAAACAACATATGGTTTCCTTTCAAAATTCTCCTCCATCTAGAAAGTTCAGTCCTCTAGAGTTAGTTCATACAGATTTATGTTACATGAAAGATAGGTCGATGCATGGTGCTTGTACTTTGTTACCTTCATTGATGATTATGCTCGGAAGGTTTGGTGTTTTTCTTTGAAATCTAAAGACCACGTATTAGATGTGTTCAAAGAGTTTCACCTTAGAGTTAAAAGAGAGACTGGCAAGAAGTTGAAGTGTGTTCGAGCAGATAATGGTGGTGAATACAGGGGTCCGTTTGAGAAGTATTGCCGAGACCATGGCATTAAACTTCAGAAGAGTGTTCTAAAGACTTCGCAGCAGAATAACTTGGCAGAAAGAATGAACAGAACTATTACCGAAAACGTTAGGTATATGCACTCAAATGCAAAGCTGCCTAAATCTTTTGGGGTGAAGCCATGCAGACAGCAGTTGATTTGATCAACCTATCTCCCTCAGTTCAGTGGATGGGGATCTACTACAGCGAGTTTGTACGGGGAAAGATGTCTCATTTGGACATTTGCGAGTTTTTCGTTGACTTGCCTTTGTTCATATTCCCAAAGATGAAAGGTCGAAGCTTGATGGCAAATCCAATCTGTGTGTATTCTTGGGGTATAAAATTGATGATTTTGGGTACAGACTTTGGGATCCTGTAGAGAAGAAACTTTTTAGAAGCAGAGATGAGATCTTCTTTGAAGACCAGACCATTGATGATATGGGAAAGGGCGAGATGCCAGAATCTTTACATGAGATTCCTGTTAATCTAGATCCAGTTTCTCCATAATCAAATGATTCTCCTAAAGGTGGAGCTGAGACAGAGTAGGATGGTGAGTTTGATGATGATCTTGCTACTGAAACAAAGAGATCGCCAGTTTCATCACCTCCTGTTCAGCATAGAAGGTCTACCAGAGACAAGAGACCTTTCACTAGGTACGGTGCTCATGAGTACTTGTTGCTTACTAATGGGGAAGAGCTAGAGTCGTATGAAGAGGTTCTTAGTCATGAGTAGAAAGATCAGTGGTTAGTAGCCATGCAAGATAAAATCAAATCCTTGCATGAGAATAACACGTATGACCTGGTGAAGCTAGCTAAGGGCAAGAGAGCACTTAAGAATAGATGGGTGTTCATACTGAAAACAAGTGAGAGCAGCTCACAACCGAGGTACAAAGCCAGATTGGTTGTGAAGGGATTCAATCAGAGAAAGGGCATTGACTTTGATGAGATATTCTCTCCTTTTGTAAAGATGTCTTTGATCCGAGTTGTGCTTTGGATAGCAGCCAATTTGAATCTTGAGATTGAATAGCTTGATGTGAAGACAGCCTTCTTGCATGGTGATTTGGAAGAAGAGATTTACCTGGAGCAACCAGATGGGTTCCAGGAGAAGGGGAAAGAGAAGCTTGTATGGTGATTTGAATCTTGAGATTGAACAGCTTGATGTGAAGACAGCCTTCTTGCATGGTGATTTGGAAGAAGAGATTTACCTAGAGCAACCAGATGGGTTCCAGGAGAAGGGGAAAGAAAAGCTTGTATGTCGTCTCAATAAAAGCTTGTATAGTTTGAAGCGAGCTCCGAGACAGTGGTACAAGAAGTTTGATGCCTTCTTGATAGTGCAGGGATACCAAAGGACTACAACTAATCACTGTGTGTTTGTGAAGAAATTCTCTGATGGTGATTTTATTATTCTTTTACTTTATGTCGATGACATGTTGATTGTTGGTCATGATACTGCAAAGATTGCCAGGTTGAAAAGGGAGTTGAATAAGTCCTTTGCGATGAAGGATTTGGGTCTGACTAGGCAGATCCTTGGGATGAAGATTTCTCGTGACAAACAAAATGGGAAGCTTTGGGTATCTCAAGAGAAGTATATCGAGAAGGTTCTTAATAGGTTTAACATGAGCGGTGCTAAGGAAGTTTTAACTCCACTTGCGGGACATTTTAAGCCAAGTAAAATACAATGTCCAAAAAGTGAGAAAGATAAGGAAGAGATGAAAAAGGTTCCTTATGATTCGGTAGTTGGTAGCCTGATGTATGCGATGGTTTACACAAGGCCAGACATAGTTCATGCAGTTGGTGTTGTTAGTCGATTTTTCTTAGCATTGGAATACTGTGAAATGGATTCTTAGGTATCTTTGGCGTAATTACGGATTAAGTCTTTGCTTTGGCAATGAGAAGACCATGTTAGATGGATATACAGATGCTGACATGACGGGTGATCTAGATGGTCGGAAGTCTACTTCTGGTTACTTGATGACTTATGGAGGGGGAGCAGTTTCATGGGAGAGTAAGTTGCAGAAATGTGTTGCTTTGTCTACCACAGAGGCAGAGTTTATTGTAGCTACTGAATCTTGTAAGGAAGCACTTTGGTTACAGAAGTATCTACAAGAGCTTGGCATGAAGCAAGAGAGGTATGTGGTTTATTGTGATAACCAGAGCGCTATTCACTTAGCGAAAAATTCCACATTTCATTCGCGGTCAAAACATATCGATGTGAGATATCATTGGATTCGGGATGTGCTAGAGTTCAAGGCATTATTTCTTGAGAAGATCCATACAGATGACAACAGTGTCGATATGTTGACGAAAATTGTGAGTGAAGAGAAGCTCATGTTTTGTAGACTGGAGGCCGGTTTGGTTTTACCCCCCAATTGAGGTGAAGAGGGAGATTGTTGGGTCCGGATTAGTTTCCCTCAATTGGGCCAACAATAAAGAAAATAAAACCAAGAATTATTAGGCTTTGGTTTTCGCTTGACCAAGGGAAACAAAAACTATTTACAAATCGATTTTTTTTTTTTATGCTTATAAAAGCAAGGTAGCACAACACTTTTGGGCATGATTTTCAGCCTAGAGAGAAGCAAAACAAGGGCAGCCGCACAACCTCTTGTGCAAGAGAAAATAGAGAAAACTTGGACTTTGGGATTTCGCTGTTGTGAGAAGAAAGTGTTTCACTTTGAGACTTTGTCGGATGACGAAACAAAGTCAGTTGTTGGTGCAAGTTTGAACGTTGGTTACTTTCAACAAGATCTACTATTCTTCTGGTTTAGTTTTCGGTTTAGCTCTCTTTTGGTGAGATCCTTCCAATCTCACTTTGTGAGATTAGTGTTTATTTTGAAAGAGTATTGTTGTAATGCACTTTTGGGTGAAGTCCTGTGTATCCACCGGTTGGTGAATACTGTTTCCCATTATTGTGATAGTGGAGATTTGACTTTTGTTACAGTCCCGTGATTTTATCTAATTTGGGGTTTTCACGTAAATCTGTGTGTCTACCTTATTTTATTAGTTACTTGAATTATTTGCTTGTTTGGTTGTCCTATTTTATTGGTAGTAGAA